AAAGCAAGGTCTAGAGTGTGTCCCCTTGTGTGGGGACAGAAACATGCTGAGTATAGCTGAAGGCCTCCATGAGGCTGGAGAAAGTCATAGCAAATTTGTCTGAGGGATCATCAAGATGAATGTTAATATCACCAACAATCACTAGTCTGAACAGCTTCACAGTGGAGAATAGAAAGTTATTTGGACCAGGTGGACACTAGACCACAGCACAGTGGAACAGGTCCTTACGCCCGACTTTAATCAGCTGCAGTTCAAAAGAAGTAAAGCGACCAGAGGTTGTAGGGCTACATGGAAGATGGTCTCTGAAAACAACAACTAGACTTCCACCACGACCAGAACCCCGGGGCTGGCTAAGAAAAGAATAACCACTCGGGCAAAGTTCAATCAAATTTGCCAAACTTCAGTCAGAAACTGGAAATCCAGGTTTTTAGAGAATTAGATCATTACGCATTAAGACTTATTGTTGATAGAGTGGATATTTAAGCGCCTCATGATTTTTATCTTGAGAGGCGCTATAGAAATGACATTTTCTTCTTCTTCTATTTAATAGAGCCATGCTAAATGAGGTGGAGAAATCAGAAACAGCAGGAGTTAGTGGACAAATGTCAGCAGGATTAGATGCACTGTGTTTATAAAAAGCAGTAATGGAGGGAACGACAAGAGAAACCACTTAAGAATGAGGAAAAGTAGTCCTTAGAAAACTTGGACGAAAAAAAACGTGCCGCATCGCGGCTTGGCGGGAATGCGGAAGTGGCGCACTGGTCACCAAACAAAGGACAAGAAGCTAGAATATCACGCCGATGATTACTAGATAAACCGCGCTTTAAGATAAGTCTTATTCTCACCTGGATTCCTGCTTGTTTACCCCTTTTCCTCTGACGTTTTCCAAGGATCGGATAAACATCGCTGGAGGAGTTCAGGTAGGAATCAGCATTTGGCTCCGGGCCAGCGTGCTGCTCACGTAAACAAACAGGGGGAAAATCCTTGGCGCATCTTGGGTGATCGCAGACGAACGAAAGGACAAAAGAGTCTGGCAATCTTAGGAGATGGTAGCCAGGACACTACCGAAGAGGACCGCAGACAGGTGCAAGGCAGAAAGGAGGAGGTTAGTAGAGAAAAGTTTGAAAAAAATGTGGCCGGTGACCGCGACCGCGGCTAAACCAAGCAAAGGTGTCATCTTGTTAACAACCCAAAAGTGGTTAAGTAAATGTGCAGTGGCTGTCAGGCTTTCTGACAGCCACACCAGTGATACGCACATGAAACAACTCTTGAGCCGACTGGAGCCGGCTAAAGGGGGTGGGGTGGGGTGATCGGCATGGTGTTGTGTGTGCTGCTTGCGGACTAGTCTCTATCCCGCCAAATGTGAGAGCAGGTGGGGTGGGGTTTTGTTGGCCCAAGCTGGGCAAGAGGCCCACTTGGCGTGACCCACCAGGACAGTGCCAGATAGGCCAGTCCACCCCTGGTCTTATCACACCTCTGTTCTTGGTTAGCTGCCCAGGGCTGCTGTGAGTTAAGCCAAGCGTACACTGTGCGACTTTTTCACTTTTTTGAGCCGATTTTCCACTCGTGCGAGAATCCACGAGATCGGGGCGAGTTTTGCGCCGAGCGTCGTGTAGTGTACAGGGGGTTACGAGAGGCGATTAACACCACGTGACCAGCTACCGATCAGCAATCGTGAGCTCACACAAACTTCTGGCGTGTTTAATATTTTGCTCGTCCCTCGTGAGGGTATCGCACTGTTGAAGAGGCGCTGCGAGCAGCTGCAACCCAAAAAGTATCAGAACCGCTCACGGCGCATGCGCAATCCTGCATCAACGCCGCTCGCTCTTTCCCTAATAACACACGTTGTTCGTTTTTGTTTCAACACGTTTTTATACTCACAAAGATTGTCAAGAATGCGTGTTTGTCGTGTTCATGTCAAATTAAACTGATCACAAAACACAGATTTACTTTCTTTATTTTGTTTTCCTCATCCAACCCCCATAAACCCTGTGTGTCCTCCTGCAGCACTCCCGAAGGACAACAGGCAAAACAAGACAAAAAAAGTTTGATGTGTTGAGTAAAAACTGCTATTTTTAGCATATTTTTAGGGCCGACGTGTTGCTACCAGACATACAGCGTGAACAGTCAGGTCGCATCTGAGAACTGGGTCGTACAGTGTGAGCACATGGCTCGTGAGATCTGCCCTGCGAGGAAGTCGTACAGTTTGAGCTGAAGCTGAGTGCTACGAGTGAAAAAGTCGCACAGTGTACGCCCGGCTTTAAAGAGAGCTGTCTATGCTCAGAAGCCATCAAACCTGAATGAACTAAAGACGTTTTAGAAGAATGGTCCAAAATAACTTCAACCAGAATCCAGACTCTCACTGGAAGCTAAAGGAAGCGTTTAGAGGCGGTTAGTTTTGCAAAAGGAGGATCTACTCAATATTGAGTTTATTGCTTTTTTGTGGTACCATATGTTTTTACCTTTGTTTAAACAATTTTTGTAAATCCTATAAACTTTGTTTCACTTCTCAAATATGACTTTTATTAAAGAATGAAATAAATTGAGAGAGAAAAACAATATCTGTGTGTGTGTGTGTGGGGGGGGGGGGGGCTATAGGATATATTTAACAGAATGTTTTAATTGTAACAACCAATGATTTATACAAGAAAATCCTCTTTGTCAGATTGGATGGATCAAGATCAGAAGATGTGGACCTAACTCCATGAACAGAGATGAAGGAGTGTATACTGGATCACATATGGGACATGGTCATCAACAAAGAGAGCGCGGGCAGTAGAGGGCGACACCGTTGTCTACTGCCCGCTGATGAAACAGCAAAGAAGTGACATCACCACCACTCTGAGGAAGGCGCCAGTGAGAGCCGAAACTGTCAGTGAAAACAGGTAAAACAAACTTTGCTAGTCTGTGTGACAACATGGATATGAACAACACAGAAAGAACAGAGCAAAAACATTCTGTGATGATTAAACTACACATTTATTTTAAAAAGCCAGTTTTCGAAGGGATGCCCTAATCTTTAAATGGTGTTTCTTCTGTGGCGTCTACCCGTGCCACAGAGCTTCCAGGTGCGAGGCTTGCTCGCCTGTAAGTTCTGACTCAGTCACAGCAAACAAACGCTGACTGGAATGATCTTCGTGTTTCTTTTCTGTTGCACGACTCTGGAAAAGAAATTGTTTTTTTCTTCTTGCTGAAAGTCTAATTTTGTAACTAATCTCTTTGCTGCAAAAAGGACAAACCGTTTTCTACCGTATTATAACTGATACACTGAGCACAAAGTAAAGATATTTATCATTGAAAATGTTCTTTTAGATCATTCTTTTCCAATATTCAAAGATGTGCAGTTAATATGGTTTTATTATAGAGAGAAGGTAATTAAACAAACAAAATCTTTTTATTCATCTTTAAGGCAGCTGCGGGCCATCAGTCCTTTATTTGGTCTGATGTTTTTGTTCCCATCAGAAAAATTAGAACTAATTCATTCAACCATTTGTTGCACAAAAAAGAACTAAAAAAGGAGGTCCTATAGGACTGTTCCTGCTGTGTGATCACCAGTCCGGAGACCACAACAGTTCTTGGATAAAAGCTACATTTGTCTGAGTAGTTTTAACAACCTTACAAAATTTTTTTTAATTTTACAAATTAAATTTTGTCAAAAAAGTCATTTCTAATGCAGTAAAAATAATTTCGGTGTCATTTTTAAGTAAAAACCCTCTTTTTAAATCACAATCTGTGTCCTTTTCGCTGTTTTAGATGACTTTGTGCTGTTAAAAAAACCATGACTTCTCCTTGATCAGCTGTTGTTTGTTTTTTAACAACTGATTATGCTCTGTGGGTCTGAGGAAGAAAGAAACAAACAGAAAACTACTTTTAAATTTACTCAAAAGTATTTGTTATAAACATCCTTGGAGAAGAAGCAGTAGCCGGACTAAAGAGCTTAAACCTGAGAAACCTTAATTTATAATAAGCTGTAGCTCATCTTACCTGCAGCTCCGTGGATCAGAGCCAGTGGGGTGTTCTCACCAGCGGTTCCGTCAGCCTGCTGTCAGACCCGCTTCTCTGCAGGTTCTGGTCCAGTCGGTTCTTTAAAAAGAGCAAAGACAGCAGCAGCCTCCTGCTTTCCGACAACCTCAGATCCTTAGAATCATGCTTTTAATAACGTCACAGACAAGAATCCTCTCCTATCGTTACCCCCCCCCCCCCCCCCCCCCCCCACACACACACACACACACACACACACCGACAGGCTGCTTGATCCCTGGATTTACAGGCTTAGTATTAAGAAAATACTCCTGCAATTTGGGATTAAACTCTCCAAACCCTACAACAACAATGACTTTGTCCTCCTGACATCTTGATACTTGTCACCAACCACTGGCGTCGCAGCTCTCGGCTTCTGCTGATTTCACCAGAAATGGAACACCAACCTTTTATTTTCATGTGGCTCTGTTTAAAACTCAGACTTGTTTTAATCTGTTTGATTTCACCTGATAATCTGCCAGCGCTCTTCATGCTGACAGACTCAACCATCAGAGAAAACTCCAAAACCAACATCTGACAAAGTAAACATTTTCTGTCAAACATGCGTTTTTATGCAGCTGCTGTAATTATAATAAAACATAAAATGGAGTTTATAGAAGAGGATAAATAAGCAACATTATTATGAGAATTGGGGATCCTTCATTTTTCATTTAATTCATGGACTTAAACAGATGCACCTATTTTTAACATCTATCTATCTTATTTTGTTAATTCAACAGAGCTGTAAAATTATTATTATTATTATTATTATTATTATTATTATAAACAAATAAAAATAAGCATCAGTTAAATTTAACCAACTAAATTGTCCTTTTGCCACATTTTTGTTTTTTTTCCAGCCGAAAGACTTGAAAGTTTCTCACCTAAACTTTTCTCCTCTCCACGTCACGTGGTGTTCTCTGTGTGTCCTGCCCGCGCGCTGATTGGCCGCCTCCCTCTCCCGGGAGGAAGGGGGGTGTTGCTGAAGGCTGCGATTGGCTGAGATGAGCGGAGGCTCCGCGTGCCTCTGACAGATGGAGGCTCCGGCCTCAGAGGCGAGCGGCGGACTCCGTCAGCAGCAGCGGCCCTCTGAGCTTTCTGTTCCGGTTTGTTTTCATCTTTTCACGCGGAGATGATCTGATCCTAAACCCAGAGGCGGCTCTCAGCCCGTTTCTCTGTGGATGTTTCTGTTCTTCTAGATTTGACTTTAAGCAGGATTTACAATAAAAGGGAAATCAAGCCAGGTGAGCTTCTAATTTGAACTTTTCTTTATTCTGACACACCAGCTTCTCCGTGAAACGCGGACGAGTTCATAAATAACTTTTTAAGAATCTTTTTTTTTTTAAGTTTTAAAACAAACACAGAAGGTTTGGGGCCACGTTCCGTTTGTTTCAACCTTTTCTTGGAGAGGAAACAAACTTTAGGGGCAGCTGACGCTTTTGTTTGACCCAACCCGCTCATGCTCCCGCCGGGCCCGAACCTCTGCTAACAGCTCCGCTAATTGTTCTGGAGCTCTCATCTCAATTCTAATGGAGCTCATTCGCACCCATTCTGGAGCTTTTAAACAGCGTGGTTATGGAAATAGGTCGGAGGCCCGGCACCTAGCAGGGAAACGAAGGAGAGAACTAAAAATAGATTTCAAACAGTTCATCTGAGCAGTTTATACCGAAAACTCCGGATTACTGTGAACGCTTTTTTTTATTGGAGCTGCGGGAAACGCGCGGATTTAAAACAAAAATAGGATATAAAAATGTCTGAATTGTTATTCCTTGATATTGTTTATTTTAGTGGTTTAGTGTTTTTCCGCTGAAAGTATCAAATAAACACATTTATAAAGTTGTTATTCTAAGAAAAACCAAAATGGTGCAATAAGAGATTTTAATGTATGCATGTAAACAGCAGGCATGATGGGGGTCGATTTAATATAGCGAGTTATAACATGAAGTAAAAGCTCGGATAAGATGTTAACATGTGTGTGTGTGTGTGTGTGTGTGGGGGGGGGGGGGGGTCCTGATAGATTCAGACTTTTAGTTTAAATCCTCCTGAGAATTCCCGCCAGCTTCCCGATCCCGGACCGGTCACTTGAAGTTAACATTAATAGATAATTGTGTCATTAAACGGTCCTGATGACTTTTAGGAAGCAGTGTTTTGTTTTGAATCTCGTGTCCGTGGTTAATATGTTAGTGGTTTAGTTTATTGATAATATTTCAGAAAACTGAATATGTTTATGATTTATAAATTCCTATAGGAATATTTTTATTCTGCATTTGAGAGGATTGATTATAATAACATTTCTGAAAGTTTATTAGCAAAACCACATCAAATATTTTTAGTTTAAAGTCAACAAAATTAGACTGATATGAAGTTTTTATTTAGCCTATTTATAAAACGGACCTTTCACCTTTTCGTTGTGTGTGTGTGTGTGTGTGTGTGTGTTGTGTGTGTGTGTGTGTGTGTGTGTGTGTGTGTGTGTGTGTGTGTGTGTGTGTGTGTGTGTGTGTGTGTGTGTGTGTGTGTGTGTGTGTGTGTTGCAGAAACATACGGTCCAGCTCGCGCACCTGGCCTGTCCGTCCGGCCCCCCTCCCTGCCCCGAGCATGATGTCGTATCTCAAACCGGGCCCGTACGGGATGAACGGACTGGGCCTGAGCGGCGCCGCCATGGACCTACTGCATCCCTCCGTGGGGTACCCTGGTACGGCCCCGTCATGCAGGACTGCTCTGATATGAAACAACCGTGAAGATGAAATAACTCACTTCCGTTTTTATCATTTGAACCTTTTTAGAACTGTAACGGTTTCATAAAAACAGGAAAAGGTTGTGTTTCATTTTGGACCAACGCCTTCATTCCTGGCTCCAGACGTCTCAGGATTTGGTTTATTATTTTGCGAGAGCCCAGCTGTTTCTTTGGGTTTTCTGCTTTTATTTGGCCGTTTTTATTCCGATTATTCAACCTTTTAACGATAACCGCGATTCAAAAATAACCCCCAAATATCCACAGTTTCAGACTCTCTATGAGTCAGAGTTCTGGTGGTTCGATTCCCTGATGGTGGGTGTCTGTTTGCTGCAGCCAACCCGCGGAAGCAGCGGCGGGAGCGCACCACCTTCACCCGGACGCAGCTGGACATCCTGGAGTCGCTGTTCGCCAAGACGCGCTACCCGGACATCTTCATGAGGGAGGAGGTGGCGCTGAAGATCAACCTGCCGGAATCCAGGGTCCAGGTGGGCGCAACATTTCATTGTTTCATTAGAAAACTTCACAAATTATGTTTACAACTAACTTCATGTTTCAGGGCAGGCCCGACACATCAACGTGAGAGTGGATCTTACATGTCGGTGTTTAATTTAAAATAGTATTTCAGGTTTTATTTTATAATTTTTTTTATTTATGAGATTTTTTAAGCATAACATGTAATGTTGTTTGAAAGAAAGTTGTTTTGTTTTAGCTTTGGAATTTCAGGACATTTTTGTTGAAAGTTTTCCCATTTTTTACAAGAGTTCGGGTGATATCGTCAAAACAAAAACAAGAAGTTTGAGTTATTATATATAAATGAAATTATATTAAATGAAATAGTTTTGCCTAAAATGTTTTGCACTATAAAATTGTGTGTGTCAAGAAGGAGAAGCTTTTCTAAGTTACCTTTTCTTTTGATTTTGAGATGATTGAAAGTAAATAAATAAATAAAATAATAATAATAATAATAATAATAATAATAATAATAATAATAAGCAGACATTATCTTGGTGCTCTCACTCACACCAAAAGCTAAACAAATAAAAGATTACCTGTTTTTAATTAAATCTTGTTGTCATGTTTAAAAATACCTGATAAAGAAGAGAATATTTATAGGAACAAAAATTGTGTGTGTGTGTGTGTGTGTGTGTGTGTGTGTGTGTGTGTGTGTGTGTGTGTGTGTGTGTGTGTGTGTGTGTGTGTGTGTGTGTGTGTGTGTGTGTGTGTGTGTTTTATAAAATAGCAATGAGGGGAAAACCCATTTTCTTAATTTGACCTCTGGTCATGGAGAGATGGAGCAGCTATCTGTATTCAGCTTCTGTAACCTGGATGATGATGATGATGAGGATGATGATGAGGATGATGGTGATGATGATGATGAGGAGGAGGAGGAGGATGATGATGACGATGATGATGATGAGGATGATGATGAGGATGATGGTGATGATGATGAAGAGGAGGAGGATGAGGATGATGATGACGATGATGAGGATGAGGATGATGATGATGTGATGACGATGATGAGGATGATGGTGATGATGAGGATGATGGTGATGATGATGATGAGGATGAGGATGATGATGAGGATGATGATGAGGCAGAGGATGATGAGGATGATGATGAGGCAGAGGATGGTGATGATGATGATGATGAGGAGGATGAGGATGATGATGACGATGATGATGATGAGGATGATGATGAGGATGATGGTGATGATGATGAGGAGGAGGAGGATGAGGATGATGATGACGATGATGAGGATGAGGATGATGATGATGATGATGTGATGACGATGATGATGATGAGGATGATGATGAGGATGATGGTGATGATGATGAGGAGGAGGAGGATGAGGATGATGATGACGATGATGAGGATGAGGATGATGGTGATGATGAGGATGAAGTGATGATGATGATGAGGATGAGAATGATGAGGAGGATGAGGATGATTTTGAGGATGATGATGATGAGGATGATGATGAGGATGAGGATGATGATGGAGTTTTGACCTGCTTTCCTTAGGTCTGGTTCAAGAACCGACGAGCCAAGTGTCGGCAGCAGCAGCAGCAGAGCGCCAACAGCACCAAGGTGAAACCAGTGAAGAAGAAATCATCCCCAACCAGAGATAGCGCTGGTTCCGAGAGCAGTGGACAGTTCACCCCACCTGCAGCATCCAGCTCCTCCACCTCCTCCTCCTCCTCCTCCTCCTCAGTCCCCTCCGGACTGAGCGGACCTGCTCTGATCTGCACCTCTACTTCAGTCACCGCTCCGGTGTCGTCCATCTGGAGTCCAGCATCCATCTCCCCGGCCCCGGCTCCAGCAAATTTGCCTGAACCCGTCCCCCACGCCAGCGCCTCCTGCATGCAGCGCTCTTCGTCGTCCTCCACCCTGACAGGAACTCCATCTTATCCTGTGTCCTACAGCCAGACTGCAGCAGCGTACAGCCAGGGCTACCCCCCTTCAGCAGCGAGCTCCTACTTCAGCGGGGTGGAGTGCGGCTCCTACCTGGCACCTATGCACTCCCACCACCACCAACACCACCTACATCAGCTCAGCCCCATGACAGGGAGCTCCATGTCAGGACACCCACACCACCACATCGGCCAAACATCTGGCCACAACCCCCCACCCCCCCACCACCAGGCCTACAGCACGCCCGGCCTCACCTTCAACTCAACAGATTGTCTGGATTACAAAGAGCAGACAGCAGCTTCAGCCTGGAAGCTCAACTTTAACGCCTCGGACTGTTTGGACTACAAAGACCAGGCCTCGTGGCGATTCCAGACGCTGTGAAGACCTCTTGGTCTCTTAGGGAGAGGATCATCTTTGGGATTAAAGTAAACATGTGCACATGTGAAGCCTCAGCATCAGTTCTCCTTGAGAACACAAGAGACAGACTGGCCTTCGTCACAGTGAGCTCACGGTGGATCCTGATGATGTCAGAGATCTGGAATTGCCTCGGTGATGACTCCTCGAGAAAAAAAAGCAAACTTTCTGAGACACGGCATCCCCAGACGAGTTTTTATTGGTGTTTTCTAAACAGGTTTATTTTTAAAACAGGCCTGTTGCTTTGGCTCTGGTTTGGTTCTGACACTTGCAGCACTTGTTTGCTTTTGGAATGCGAATCCTGATCAAAATGTCAGCCAGCTGTGTCTTTAAAATAAAGTCCTGTTTAAACATGAGCCGTCCAAGAAAATGTCTGTTCCGTCTGAAGGAAGAATCGAGTGTCAGCTCGTCAGCCGACCTCTCTGCTTCATGATCAACTTCACCAAACTGGTTTTACTGGTTTAGCGGCACGCAGAGCCACATTACAGCTATTGAAATGATTGATCTGCAGTCTGTGTTGTGTTCGCTGATTTTTCTAGGGCCCTGTGAGGGGTTCAAAGCTGGTGGAGGCAGAATAATGATCTTAGGCCTAGTCCACACGTAGCCGGGGTTTTTTAAAAACGAATATCCGCCCCTCCAAAAACTTGCATCCACACCACCGCGTTTTAAAAGCAAACTCTGTCCACACGTACCCGGATAAATACGTTGTTAAGGACATGCCAGACCTGTAGGTGGCAGTACTTCCCCCGTTCTTAACCTCGTCCTTCGTCTGTGGTCTTCTGCAAGGAGCAGTAATTCCTCTTGCAAAAACAAACAAGCAGAAAGCGCTTGGACAATTGATAAAGCGAGCGCAGCTCTGAGGGCATCCATGCTGTCGGCTAGTGTAAACACAGGTCGCACACGTGATGTCAGCATTTTTTGTCGCGGAAAGTGACGTTGCGGACCTTAAAACTCCGGTTTTGTCCGTCCACACGCAGACACCCAAAACGGAGAAAACGCAGATCTTCACTTTGGCCGGAGTTTTTAAAAAGATCCGTTTTCGTGTGAAAAAACTCTGTTTTCGTGTGGATGACAGGCCAAAACGTAGAAAAATATCTACGTTTTGGCAGATCCCCGGCTACGTGTGGACAGGGCCTGAGACTCATGAACTCTTTCACCTTCAAATTAGACATCTAAGAATCCACTGAGCACACACTCGTACCCTGTGAGTAATCTTGTCCAAGGAAGTGTTCAGCTGTGCTGAACTGTTACTGTGTAAACGTTATAAATAATTATTGACTTGCGTGTTGTCGAAAGCCTCCTGCTCAGAAGATAAGCTAACAGCTAGTTGAAGTAATGTCTGGCTGCATTTAGCTGCTGCTGACATCTACTGTATGTTTATAAATAAGCATGTGGTGTGAAATCTACTGCAATTTAAAATGTTTTGTTTCAGTTTGCAGGAACTATCTAGAGGAATTATTTAGAATTATTACACAGAAATGCATTTCAAATTGGCTACAATATCCCTTTAGGCAGAGTAAACTCAGAGCACACCAACACCTGCATGTTTTTGGTCTTTTCCAGTTTTTGGTTTGCCCAGTCAGGAATCAAACCCTGGACCTGGTTGCTGCAGGGCACCAGGGCTGCCAGCTGCACCGCTGTGCAGCCTTTGTTTGGTAATTTAGATAAAACATCTCACAGAGAACATAAAAATCCAGGAAAATGCCAAGATTTTACTTATTTAATTAAAAAAATTCTACATCTTTGAGGAACATTGTATTGATTATTTAATTTTCTTTCAAGTATCATTATTCAATTTCCTTCCTTCCTGATTGATAAGCTAACAGCTAGTTTAAATTACACCAAGATCTAAGTGTTTCCATCCACTGGTCCACTTATCCGGGGTCAGGTCATGGGGGCAGCAGCCTAAGAAGAGGCCCAGACTCCCCTCTCCCCAGCCACTTCGGATCCCAAGGTGTTCCCTGGCCAGAAGAGAGACATAGTCCCTCCAGCACGTCCTAAGCCTTCCTTTAGGTCTTCTCCTGGTTGGACAAGTATCAGGAGGCATCCTAACTAGATGCCTGAGCCACCTCGACTGGATCTTTTCGATGCAGAGGAGCAGCAGATCTACTGTGAGCCCCTCCTGGATGACCAAGCTTCCCATCCTATCTCTAAGGGAGAACCCAGTCACCCTGCAGAGAAAGCTCCTGTTGCCCGCTTATATCTGCGTACTGTTCGTTTGGACACTACCCAAAGCTCGTGACCATAAATGAGGGTTGGAACGTACATCGACTGGTAAAGTGTTTCTAACCTTTCATAAAGCTTCACAGCAGTCAATGCAAACACGACTTTGCACTTTTATTATTTGCCTTAAAAAGGTGAATTTCCTCACTTTAGGATTGATAACGTCTATTCTATCTTTGTACCGCAGTCACTTACTCACATGTGTCAACGTCTCCAGCAGCAGACTGTAGAGCTTCTGCCACATTCAGGTTTATTACAGGTGGAGCAACTGCACAGGAGGTGAGCAAACCTCTGCTTCCCAACTAATCTGACAAACTCACCAAGTCTGTGTCCACTCTAATATTGTTCTCATCACCGAAATATTTCATTTTTTCATTTTTGTTGCATTATTGTCACCTGATCACTGCCCCCTCCCCCTCACACACCACTCGCTGCTATGGAAACAGCATTCAACCTGACGATGGGAAAGTTCAGTCAGAGCTCTAAATGAGTCATGAAAGTCACACAAACTAGATTTTAGCTCACTTTGTCATGGATGACGGCGGCTCGCCCTGTAATCGGAAGGTTGCAGGTTCAAGCCCCACTCAGTTTGTCGTTGTCATTGTGTCCTTGGGCAAGACACTTAACCCAACTTGCCTGCTGGTGGTGGTCGGAGGGACCGGACCGGTGGTGCCAGTGCTCGGCAGCCTCGCCTCTGTCAGTGCGCCCCAGGGCAGCTGTGGCTACATTGTAGCTCATCACCACCAGGATGTGAACGTGTGTGTGAATGGATGAATGACTGATTGTGTTGTAAAGCGCCTTGAGGGGCTCCAGGACTCTAGAAGATGCTATATCAAATACAGGCTACTTACCTTTTACCGTAGGCTACATACGTGTGGGAACCCAAGGGGGTGTTTGTTTGTTTGTTTGTTTGTTTGTTTGTGTGTGTGTTTGACAGAATTTGTCCTAAAATGAATGTTTTCCAAATCATATCGATGCAGTTTCATTGTTAGAAGTCTTGCATTTTACAGGGCTGGTGGAAAAAGACATTACAGTCTCAGCAAAGAGGAATGTTTAAATAACTGTCCTCATGTCCATAGACATCGACCCCTTGTCTCCAAGCTGAGACCTACAACATGAGACAATTGAAACATAACCAAAAATAAACATTTAGATCTTTGTTTTTAAAGTGAAAGTATTAGTTTCATTGTTATTCCAGAAAGTCGATGCAGCTGAGATGCAATTGTTGTCCCTTAGCCCTTAAATCCATCATCAGATCCACCCGTCTTCTCCAAAAGAGTTAAATCCTCAGCTGGACCCATTGGTAAATATGTCCCCTGGCATCCTGACTTGTTTTTCCATTGTATCCACATCCACATGCAACTCGTTTGATCCGAGGAAAAAAGGGACGAATCACGATCCTAATTAACATCCTAACCTCATCCTTGAGATGTCCGTCCCACAGCTGGACAAACAGTGCTGTGTTGACAAGTTTATCCCTGTAAGGAATGCATTCGTCCTTGTTCTTTTTATCCATCCTTTTCACTCTTCTTCTGCTTCAGCTTCAGCTGTGGCTTCCCCTAGCAACGCCAGTCACACACCTAAAATGGCGCTAAGGGGGTGTGGTTGACATGCAGGTCACATGTCTGACAAGGACAAAACGTTGCTTTAGTCTTTTATTGAGTTTCAGTTTTCAAAGTCGTATTTTAAAAGTTGAACTCTCAGAGGAAGCATATCTGGACCCAGGGGCGGATTAAGAACTGAAGAACATCCAGGGCTTAACACACGCGCACGCGCGCAAACACACGCGCGCGCACACACACATGACACGCACTAGTCAACATCATATATGTCTTGTACCACATCATTTTTAATCTGAAGCTACATATTAAGCATATTCAGGGCAGAGTATTGTTCCTGTTAGTGTTTAGTGTGAGATGATAGTAAATATTCCCTTTCTTTCTCCAACAACTTTACCTGATAAGCTAACTTTAGACAAACCAGCAGCACAACAAATATTTTCAAATAAGACTCACAAACCTGAGTCAACACCAGTCTCATCAAAGCTGGGGTTCTGTCGCCGTACTTTTGGTCTATAAAACGTCCTTATGTCCATCTTCACTCACGCGTTTCAGGCAGAGAGTGTAGAAGAAGCCGGCTGCTGAAGGGCTTCTTCTTCAGTGGTGGAGGCTCAGGCAGGCTGTATACAAACTACTGCCAGCTGCTCCCTCTCTGTTGGACTTTGGTACTGCATGTTACTTCCATGATTTAGATCCGGGGCTTCAGCCCAAGTAGCCGGGCCTAACGCCGCCCCTGTCTGGACCCACTGGCGTACATTTGCTCTTGACATTGGTGGGGACTTAATAATTGACAAGACGAGACATACATCTGGCTGTTTGTTTGATGTGACTTAACAAGTTCTCAAATTAATATCAAACACTCTGACACCACTGAACAGCCTGCGCAAGTTGTCTCGGCAAAGCGAGTGATTGGACTTCCAGTGTGTCTGAAGGTCATAAGGACCCCCCTCAGAATACGCACGGCTGGTCAAAAGATACTTCCCAGGTGGCTTATGGTGGATGGTTTCACATCTGATGAGTTAGTAGTTGATTGAGCAAATAATAATGGATTGATTTAAAATAAGATGGTTCTTTAAACCGCTAAAATTATTCCACTGATAAATCTGGTTGACTTCCCACAGGATGGTCACATAGCATGAGATGTGAGCTTGGCTGAAGGGGGAGACGAATGTTATGGCTTTCTCTTCTCATTGGCAAGGCTAGGGAAAGTAAACAAGACACTGTTTTGTTATAGAAGAACACAATATTCGTAGAAGAAGAAGCTGCTGAACACTTGACTGTCTGTTGACCTCTGACATTGCTGTGGACTAGGGTTGTCACGGTAACTGGTATAGCGGTAAACCCCGGTAAAAAAGTTGGCAATAAAAATAACCGTCCCGTTTTTTAAAAACTAAATTATCTCGGTGGGTTTACCGTGGCCGCGGTTTAGGCACGGTGACCCGTTCCAGCCACCGTCGCTTCTGCTGAAGCTCCCGCGCACACGCACTTTTTAGTTTGCAACCAAAACTTTGAAGCTGAAATAATGGCCGAAGGAGGAGACGGCAGCGCCCAGGACATCCATCAGCCCTCAAAGA